GTCCAATAGTTACAGCGTGGAGGACTATAGGGGATAAAAGATAAGCCCGGTAATAAATTTTGGTTCGCTAGCTGGAATTTCAACAAGACGGTGGACTTAACGTCTTGCACGCGGAGTTAGTAGTCAGTTATTAATTCCTCCGTGATGAACGACTAGTTATCGAGTGTCGACGCTTCCAAGAAAGCGCGGTACTTTGCAAAGAAGATGAAAGTTGCTTGAAGCATTAGATAAATCGATCTTATATGTATACTCGTACGTTATATGAAATCGGTCGATTTTATGCACGCCGGCGTGTAAAGCCGTAGCACGTACATAGAGCTTCCCGTAACTTTTGTTCGCTAAGTTGTTTTAACGTTTCATAAATTTGTACACCGTTCGGACAACGGTGACAAGCAACGAAGAAGACGGTGGTAAAATGCGAAAGAAATGATACGTTGATGTACTTCGAAGAATTCGGGTTTCAATAAACCGTCGATTGGCTTCGCTTCTCTCGAGAGAAACATTCCGAGTTCGCAGCGTTGGCAGTCTGCTAATTTCTCCGAAGCGACTGGTCATCGAGAGGGATTCGCGTGGGAGCGCTTAAAGCACCGCGAGCCGGGGGAAAAAAAACGAGCGTCCTCTACGTGGCAAGAAAAACAAGCCCGAAGTGTCCCGTAAGTGGTCGGTCGACTTTCGTCATCGAATCGAAGCTGGAGCCGCGTGTACGCGAGCTCTCCGACGTAGGCGGGACAAGCACGTGTTCGTCGAGCCAGGTGCGCGGCAAAAAGTTCCGGAAAGAAGCGCAACGTTTCTTGCCGACCCGATCGGTGATTTATCCGTTTCGAGCTGAAGTATTTACGACGCCCTATCGGACGGACCGTGAAGCGCCGCTTACGCGGGCACGTTCGCGAAACAAGATGTAACAATCCCGCGGAAGAATGGCCGGGCCGTGGCCGCGCACGCGAATACCAGCGAATTTCCAGAAAGCACGGGATTGTATGCCCATTCCGCAGAAAATCTGGCCGACCGCTGCGATATTTATTAATATTATGCTTGCGCCCGCGATGCTGCCTAAATACCAGGCCGCGCGGCCGCGCGTTTGCTTGCTCCAGATTGCAAACGCATCTATTTTTTATTTGAGTAATTCGCGATCGTTTCATAGCTGCCAGCGAGCGCGAACATCGTGTTTTACAGGGGCTCGTTCGGCCTCGTAATAATGGACACCTCGGCAAAGTTTTTTATATGAAGATCAGGATCGTGGGCGAGCACGAGCACCGTCGACCGACAGCCGTCTTTTCACAACTGCTCGTTAATGGAGCTGATCATTTCATTTATTTATTAATTCATTTCTTGGGTTGGCAACTAAGTAATTGCCGATTTGTACAATGAAATAAAAAATTTTCTTCTTACTTGGAACGAAGTTTAATCTGTAATGTATTTTCCATTTTGTTCGATGACCTTCCGCCATCTCTCTGACAACTTGAAAATTCCACGCTCGTAGAAAGTCTGATCCTTTTCGGCCAAAAACTGAGTTAAGTGAGATTTTACAGCGTCATCATCGTTAAAAGTTTTACCACGAAGGGAGTTTGTCCAGGGATCGAAATAAGTGGTAATCCGATGGCGCGAGATCAGGGCTATATGGTGGGTGTAACATCAATTCCCAAGCAATATCCATCAATTTTTGTCGAGTGGAGAAAGACGTGTGCGGCCTAGCATTGTCCTGGTGGAAAATGACACCTTTACGATTGACCAATTCTGGTCGCTTTTCCTTCACCGCTGCATTCAATTTGTCCAGTTGCTAACATTCACGGATAATAAAAAATAACATAATAATAATAATAATAATAATAATAATAATTTTATAATATAACATTTACGGATATCATAAAAATGGGAGTGAGAGACATCTATAACTGAAATCGGCAATTACTTAGTTGCCAACCCAATAATTTGTACGGGAAATTACCTATTAGTTATAAAAGTACAGTGGTTTGGAATGATTTTGTACAGAGTATCAAATAAATAAAACAGAATGATAAGATAATCGCAGTTTCTTAAATTAATAAGATCAGTCTCTACGGACTAAAATAACGTTGCGAAATTGTATTGAGTAATACGACATAAATTCTGAGTCTGAAAGAGTGTAGTAGAAGATTGAAAGGATTTTTTACTTCGCCCACACGCGCACGAAAAAAAAACAGGGAAACGAACCTCGAGGTTTCGATCCGTCGTAGTCCTCGACGCGATTCGAGACCGTCTAATCCACTGCACGATTTCCGTTTCAGAGGTGTCTGTCACTGTGGCCGACGTTACGGGAAATGTTTCCAAAAACGAATATAATCGCCGGAATTTAACGAACTGCTTTTACAGAAAAATCCTATCGCGCCGCCGCAAAAGAATTTCGGTCTTCGATTTTGGTTCGCTTTCCGGAAACATCGTGTGTACACTGCCGACTGAATGCGGAAATCGCTTGCCGATTTTCACCGGAATCGTGTTTCTCTTCGCTCCCGGCTGATATTTTCCAAACTTTCGATCTTTTGGTCGCTGGAAAATTCCCGGCGCGCTCCAATATCACCGATTTCCATCTCTATATTTCCCGGAAAAATAAATCCACTCTGCCACTAAGTTCGATTGTATCTCTTCGCAACCTTTCGCTAACGATTAAGCCCTCGAGAAACAGTGAAAACAATTTTGACTATGTATAGTTCTATTTCTCACGAAGTGTTCCGATACGCTCCTCGGATATCGTGGAAACGATATCAATGCCTATTTCATCGCATCCTGTACGATGCTCCATTCAAAATTGAGCTGTCGAAAAAATTGCAGAAACAATTATTTTCTGCATTAAGAATTCGAACATGTTTCCCACGTCGCAGAAACGTTTCCGACGCCTATATTATTTATATCTTATGCAACCTTTCGCTTACAGTCATGTTCTCAAAATAACGCAGAAACCATTTTTCTTAGTTATTTTCTGCACGAAGAATTCCAATATGCTCCTCGTATCGTGGAAACGATGTGGATGCTTATTTTATTACGTCTTACGCAGAAGAGCAGTGCATGCACTCGCGTACAATATTTCCCGTGATGCATTCTACCGGTGATTCGCTGGGAGATTCGTCCTCCGGTCCACGTTCCGTCGGATCGCTTTTTCCTACGACAATGTACTCGCTCGTATCTGGCGCATTGCTGCCGCTCGGACTCTTCATCAAGTCGCGGATCTTTTCTCCTCGGGACTGCATCTTTTCGGGAATAAACGCTGAAGGTTAACCCTTCCGGTCCGAAGGACTTGAGACAGAATGCGCCCGTTGCGAATGGAACCAAGTACACCACGCTGGCGGGCCAAGTGCTTCGCCGAGTTTCTTGTTCTATAAACTTTTTTATTATGTTCTATGAACTCGCTCGTCGCAGCCGGATCTAGTTCCTTAAATTACTCGATTCGCCGCGTTCTTTGAAACACCTACCATCGGGCCAGTCGGTGGCAAAAGTTTCCCTGCATCCGACGTGTATTGAACTAGATTCGGGAGTCTGACTGGCGATGATGTTTTCGGGCAAAATCTATTAAACATATCAACCCTTAAATGCATGATTTTTTGTTTTGAATTTTGAAACATCGTTTTTTATAGGAATGTAGTCATAGGTTACGTAAAAAGTAAATAAAAAGATCTAGGTAATAATATCGAGTATTTATTTCGAAAAGAAGTTGTATGTAGACTTTTGGCAACAATATGCGTTTATTACTAAAATTATTGTAGACGTAAACAAATGGTCATGTATTTATATTATCTATTAGTATAGGAATTTCTACATTGTTTATAAATGAAATGCAGCAAAGCAATTGCGATTTTTGTTGTGACACGAAGCAATTTTTAAACTCGAAAAAAGAAAATATCTCTCGCACATACTCAGGTTTTTGAATAAAATTAAGTGGAACTGGAATTGGCAACAATATGCATTTAAGGGTTAAATGCATTAAATACATTTTTCAAAGCCGACTCTTTCGATTCAAAGTCATTTGACTCCCGGCGAGGACGTTAATAAATGCCTATTTCGTTTGTCCTAACGATCTCATATTATATTTTATTCTCTTTAATTTCCTTCGTTTTCACATTATTTTAATAACTCGATCGCTTACTTAATCTACCATTGTATCTTTTCTTTCATTGTATCACCTCCATTCCTTTTTCTTCGCTTCTTTTTGATACGCAACTTATTATTATTATTATAAATAAACTCGTGAGCCTTTATTGAACATTACACCAACCGAGCACTAAGAGTGACTGGCGCGTGACAACGACTACAAGACTGAATCTATTTAAACTATTCAACACGTTTATAACAACGTTCGGATTAAACGCTCGTTGCCGGTTGTGAACAACTATAAAAACGAGGCCCGAGGCACGACTTATCCTATCTCCCCTTTCCAAATTGTCCATTTTTGTTTACAAGCTGGGAGGACAATTGGGAAGAGAATGCACTGTAATTCCAGCGACTATAAAATAAAGAACGCGAAACTGGTCGTTGCGAGCGGCTCGGTAGGTTTACTGTTCAAATAAAATATAAAGCAATCCGCGAGAAAGACCAACGACCTTGCCCAGAGTCAAAAAGGCCATATTCCCCGGGTGCATCGACGCGGCAAATATTTGCACTCCGTGTTCTACCGCGTACGCGAGTCGTCTATTTTTCGCGGACACGGCCGAGGTCCCGCAAGGGTCAAGGAACAGGCGAATCCCGCGCGGTATAGCGAGAGGGCTCGGCAAACACAGGAGCGACAGCTCTAATCCATCCCGTCAAGGCTCCATCAGTAGGAGCCGGGCGTTTTCCATTCGTTGGGTGGCAGGCCGTCGAGCGTCTGAGCCCCGCCCGAGACCCGTAGTCAGCTTGTCCGAACAGTGTAAACGTGCCCGGAGCCCAATCCCTGTCCTGTCCGTTGATTAAACCGCGCCGCGGAGTGAAAACGTTGGGGATGGTCGGTTTACACCTGTGCGCCTTGTGCGTGCCGTGCCGGTGTGTCCTTTCAGGAGGAAGCAACGCTCGGACAGGGAGAGGCGGCCAGGAAGCTCTAGGGCGGAGGAGATCGAGCCGGGCTACGTGCACGATGCTGCAGGCTGGCCCTGCGAACTTGTCGCAGCTTGAACAGTGCGCCAGCCCGTCGCAGGGCCGATATTCTCGGGAGTGCGGTTCGCTGTTACGGTTCCGCGCGCGAAAGTAGCGAGTCTGGGCCGAGCTACCGGGCCGTGTGTCGGTGTTTCCCCGGTGTCTTCCGACGCGAGCGAGGCCGGAAATCGAGAGCCGAGCGTGTCCAGGTGGATGTTGACGCTGGATCGCGGGAGAGGACGGTGCGGGGGCGTAGCGTCGGCACGTCGGAAATCAGCCAGACGCCGGGACAGTCGATCGTTCCTCGTGAAAACGCCGCGAGGCTCGCACTCGCGTTCGTGCTGTGCGTGACAAACGACGGCGACGCACCGGATCCAACGACGCCAGTGCCCGCGGACACGCCCGACGTCTTCCTGAAAACAGCTCGCCGTGATTCCCGTCACGTGGACCAGATATCCCCTAAGAGGACTGTCCCCGTCTCCCGCCTGCCCGGCCCGGCCCGGCCCGGTCCGGCCGTTTCCCGGGGCTCAGCTTCGCGGAGGAAACGCGGCCCGAGCTGAAACGAAAAGAGGATGCGGCACACCTTCGGCAAAAGGGAACACGACGTCCGGAGAGGAAGCCTAATGTTTCCAAACGACATGGGGCTGCTAATGTTCCTAGCTGTGACGGTATCCCTCTTGGGCTACTGCCAAACCGACGAAAAAGGTAATGTATGGACGTGCCTTTCGACGGTGACGAAAGAAATGCCAGATTCTGCTCTCTCTCTCTCACTCTCTCTTTCACTCTCTATCTTTCTTTTACTGTCTTTTGTTCTCTCTTTCTCTGTCTCTGTGTGTGTGTGTGTCTTTCTCTCCCGTGCGGTCGCTCGTTCCCTTTTCGGACGGCCGTTAGTAAACGTAAATCTGAGAGGGCAGACGCACGTGCTGGAAAACCGGCGAGAACGCCGACAGAGATTAACTTTTATGGTCAGCGGAACGAGTGGCTCTCTCGTGAATGCGTTATACTTATAACGGCGACGCCGCCCTCCGCTCCCGATGATGCCCGCGACGATGGCCAGGCTTTAATAACGAATTGGCGGCGGGTCGTAAACCCGCTGCCGGACATTGTCCCGCCGCCGTCTGTCTACCGAAGCGTTTTCCTTCGCGTTCCGATCGATCCGCGACACTTGTCCTCCCGGCGACCGATGGACGGACGAATTATCAGGGAAAACGCGCACGAAAGTACATAAACGCCGTGCTGCTCCACCGCAGCCCGGCGCTTTTCAGGGAGCTCTTAAAAGCGCCGCACCGCCAGACGACGACGTCGCCGTTGCTTCTAACGTCTGAAACGCGATAACGTTCCGCGGAAATCGCGTTACGCCTTGCTTCCGACGGCTTTCTACGCGAAACTCATTTTTACGTTCGGTTTCGTCCGATTCCGATTGCCGTGTCGCTGTTGCACCGCGTATAGGCTGCACGCGAAAGTTCACGCGGCTCAGCTGGGAATTCGGTCGCCGAATGCAACCGATTTTTAGCTCCATTCTCGCGTCGACGATGGGTAACGCGGCGAGAACGTTCAGATTTTATGTCGCTCTCTAAAATCGCGTCGCTTAGCGTATTTAGCGAATTTATAACTTTTACGGAGGATACGTTTGCGTGCAACGGAACGAGGAAAATAAACGTAACCGTGCACTCGAAGTTGGTTTCGTACGAAATCGAAAATACGTTTTCCGATGTACGGCATTTACATTTTACAGTGATATTCGCAGCTTGAACATATGGAATTGAACCTGTTGGAACAATACTAGCAATTTGGAAGTAATTATTACTAGTAATAATTGCGAGTAATAATTACCAGTAATTATTTGGAAACGCGATACATGAAAGGGACCGATAGCAAACGATGTGACCGGAATGATTCTCTGCGATAAAACAATTCGGCGTGGTGAAGATTTGCGTGTACTTCGAACACTTGCAGTTTCCATGAATCTCGCGATCACTTGAAATCCGACATTACGCCAGTGATAACAATGAACTGCAAACATGAAACAGTGTACTATAATTGTAGCGAGCATGAAAAGCGGCAGATGTAAACGCGTTTATTTGCCATTACCATAAAGATTGCTCATTACGGGCGAACGGTTAATAAAAGCTGATGGCCGCCGGTTGAATTTCTATTGGCAATCGTTTGCTGTTTATTTGCCGATTTCTTGGCGCCTTGCGAAGGTTTTCCTTCGGTGTTGCGCGGGTTTTGTTGCGCTTGTCGCCGGATCGAGCGAAAACCGCGGAAAACCGGGTCTCCGTCGGCGAAGGAGAAAGATATTATTCTGCAGTTTCAACGAAGCTCGTATACCGAAATGGGACAGAAATAATTCATGCAGCCACTGACTCCACAACTTTTATTATATCGCCGTAAAATATCGCTATCTCCTTTCATTAACCGTGCAGAGTCCGTGCAGGCCGTGCAGATTATCGAGCACGCCGGTCACGAAAGAGTATGTTGTTCGTAGATTACGGATTTTTATACACGCGCAGCGTTTTGAAACTTTCTTCAACGTTAACGAGCTCTCCGCTCGATATTTCGCCGCGAGCGATCGTTCTCGAAAAAAGAAAATGTTGCCCTTATCACGGTTTTCTTCGAGTTAACCCCTTGCCGTGCTTTGACCAATCTGACTCGCGACAGAGATTTCTAGCAATACCCTGTTAATTATGAAATGTTATTCCGTTCTTTTGAGCCGGAATAATATTTTGCCCCCTTGCCACGAGTATTTAAGTGCTTAAGTAAATGTAGGCAAACGCGACAAACATACATTTTCTTTTTCTTCTAAGAAATTTTATTTCTTGGAATATTTAAAATAATCGTAGAGGCTTCTAGTTAAACACGCACTTTAACCTTGAACACATTTATGGTACCATAATACAATAATGGCACGCGAAGCTATCTAACAAGAATGGAGATTGCGATCGTTATGGTCACGCGTATATGTATAAACGTGTATAAGTAATTAGTAATATATGATTATGTATAAGTAATTATAAGTAATTAGCACGGTCGATAAATGTTGCGATTAGTATCATGTTTCAGCAATGATTACAATTGAAAAGGTGTGCTCATCGTTGTAACTCGGAAGAAAATGATACGGCGAGGGGTTAATCTTTCCGAAGACGAAAACTCGCATGCGCGTCGCTCTCCGGATCTCGAAACCGTTTGCTTTCCGTAAAATGTTTGTCAGAGACAGGTGTTCGAACGGAGGAAAGCGAATGTTATTTTCGCTGTAGGTTTACTTTGGAGATTAAATACCGGGACTAGAAAAAATATTGAGCTATCGGAAAAGTTGGAACTCTTTTTTTTCGAGTTTTTCAACCGGACCGCGCGGAGATTCCACGCCCGCGGAACAATGCCGCCTATCCGCAAGATGGCGAGGGATTATCCGTCGGAATGCCGCACATTTGTTTTCATTCTATTATCGGAAAGGTTTAAAATAAAGCTTCCGATAAACGCTCCGGAAGAGTTTGAAACTCTCGCGGCGACACAATGGTATTCAATTCGAACTCGAAAGGACCGAGTAATTGCCGCAAAGTGGCGCGGAATGAAATCCGGGGTACATAATCGGCGCAGGCCATATTTTCCTGCACCCTCGCGTTCGTTAATCAACGGCGGCCCACCGTTATCGCAATTCCTTGCGTGCCGTTGCTGAACTTAAAACTAGAACTGCCGGAGCGGTCGAAACGACGAAGTCGTCGACAACGATCAACCGAGACCGCCGTTTCCAAAATCTTGCAATTTTTCTCAAAAATCTGGGAAACCAACTTTTAGTGCTCGATGATGCCAGATGTTAACCAGTTAGCTGACGCGACCTCCTCGAAAAGCGGGCACGTAAAATGTGTCGCAATATGTAAATGATTGTAGCGACGAATAGCGCGGCATAGCATGTACGCACTCTGTTCACACTGTATACAATTTTTTCATAATAATTATTTCTGTTTTTTATTTGTTCGTTTTATTGTCCTGCAAATATTCAAAAAAAATTTACAAACATACTTTAGTTTCCATTAAAATTGCAATTTACACAGCAAATTCCCCCGCGCGACGAGTACACTTGTCCTAACACGAAATATCGTCATTGTTCCTTCGTGACAAGCATACTGGTCGAGAACAGTTGCGCAATTGGTTAAGAGACAACGGGAAAGCTAACACAAAATAAATGTAAGACAATAAACGAGCGTTTAACTTGCGAGCGGAAAATAGCGAGCAGAGGTAAAATAAATTGAGAACACAAGAGGAGAACTTCTTTCGGTGAAATTAGCGTGTGCAAGGAGAACGATAGCGTCACTTCGACATCGGGAACGTCGAGCAGAGGATCCACCTCGCCGTAAAATAGACTTCTGCCAGCGGGTTCGCCAAATATTTCCGTGAGTGCGCGTCGCGTCGCGTCGCGTCGTCTCGTCAGCATCGCAGGACGGTCGTTCGTAGAAACGTCCGAAAAAAGGAGCGGGCAGAAGAGGCAAAGAAACCTCGGAATGGTCTTTCGCGGGATCCTGTCGTCGGTGGGACGAGAAACCGGGCGAACTTTTTAAGCAAGCACCGAAATAATGAATTTCCACGGCGAAACTAAATTACCTCTCGGCGAACGATCGCGAGGCGCCTCGATCCGCGCTTGATCCACGTTCGCCGGCCCCGGTGTTTTCATTTCGCCGGCGATTCTGAAATTGTTGATTCAACCTATCGCGCGGGAAATAAATGAGGAAAGCAGATTCGGCACGGTCCAGGCCGTGTATTTCCGCCTGATTTTTAATTAGATTCGTATCAATCATCGGCCGGCGAAAGTATCGAGCGGCGGGGACCAGTAAATATCGAGAGGATAATTACAAAATCAACTTCTGACCGATTGACGACGAACAGCCGAAATAAATCGAACCGGAAAGGATTAATGTAGTAATACGAGACGCGGTTGCACCCGGCGCGGTGGGCTGAGCGCATCCGGTGCATCGCGGGTGCAGGAACCCGGCAGATATGCGCTCTCGATCATCTGTAATTGCGACGATACAGCCTCGCGATACCGCGCGCCATTTATTCTTCACAATGTCGTCTTTCCGTTTCACCTCTGCGCCCCGATGCACATGCACACATGCACGTTGCACATGCACCGGGACAGCAGATAGAGTCCGGATTTAACGATCCACCGCGGCGGAACGCATGCCAATTTATACGGCGGTATAGATCGGAACATGTTTCCCTTGAACGACGATAAAAACCGGACAGCGAAAACGAAAGAAACGACCGGAAACCGCCAACGCGACGGTTTCGTTGAAACGACGGCCTCTCATTCTCTCTCTCTCTCCCTCTCTTTCTCCCTCTCTCTCTCTCTTCACCCGATAAAAGTCCCGACACCGCTTCGGGTCGAATAAAAAAATATTAGATCACCGATCGACGGCTCGTGCGTCTCTTGTCGGAGTCGATCATCGACGGCGTTGCGCGGCTGCTAATTAATCCGTGTCGATTTCGCGCGGCTCGACTCGATGGCCGACCGATAGCGATACCAACAATCGGGTTATCGATCGCGAAGAACCTGCCTTTTTAAAACGTTACACGGACGTGTATCGTGTTCTCGTCTAACCAACGATCGTAGGTAGTAATTAGCAGGTCCGGTTGCGCATTCGCTGTATAAAGTCTCCTTCCTCGGCACGCAAGTTGTTGCTTGGTTTCTCCGATGATTGTTCGGATAT